CTGTAGCGCTGTGTACCTACCAATCAAACATTAGGGGTTTCTACTTGTAGATTTGTGAGTCATTTGCATTAATTGCAATCATGCAGTTACGTATTAATCACAAAATTGCTTTGACTACATGGTAATGAGCCGCCATGCAGTTAATCAGTGGAAAACAAAACCAGAATCCACTTTTTTTTCTTTTCTCTAAACTTATTTTTCTCCAATAATTTCATTACAGTTTGACACCTCTGAGATGTTGTTAGGTAAATGTGCACAGAGGACTTTCAGTGCAGTCCTGGTTTGCTCTCTCTCTCTCATGTGGAACTCCCAGTGGGGGTGGGGGGGAGGAACGGGTAAAGTACGGGGGCAAAGGGGTCAGATTTAACAGATTTATTTTTTTTTTTCAAACAAACAGACGACACGAGCACAAGACGAAGAGCAGACAAGACAAACGGAGCAAAACACACAACACAAGACGCCTCGGGATGCTGCGGGTTACGTCGGCGAGGCTCGGACCTGCCGCCGCCGCCGCAGCCCCCAGCATGCACACTGACACATAGCCGAACCCAGGTGGGGGCGGGGGGAGGAGGGGAGTTAGCCTGGGATTTATGGGTGGAAAGACAGGAGTACAAAATATGGATGCCAATCATGTCCATGCAGAAGCAGAAGGGGTGACGATTAGGGTGGAGCGGGGAGGTACTGACAGCAGTTAGTCCGGGTCGACGCATGCCACAAATGCCTTCTACTTGGAGCAACAGATAGAATAGAAAAACAGATATACTTTGTGGCAATAAAAGTCTTTTTATGCCATCTGCATTCAAACAGACATGTATATGCAGAGAGGCTGACTCAGAATGGAGGGAAAGGAAGGGGTTAACACTCAGAAGGGGTGAAGAGAAGGTGTATGTGGTTGGGGGAAGGGGAGCGAGGGGGCGGTCAGTCTTTCACACACGACTTTCTCAAGACAGTATGGGGTTGTCGGCACAAAGACCCAAAACAAACCAGAAAATGATGGCAAGAAAAGATTTTTGTTGCCGTTCGTTTCCCTACGTTGTGCTGAAAATGAGGTCAGGGGATGTTTCTGTCGGAGCCACACGGCACAAAGTTGATGATGGGGGAGTGAGAGGGGAAGGGGGGGCGAGGGGAGGAGTTTGAGTTTAGTTTTTTTTTTTTCCAACCACCAAAAGTTCATGCGGCACGAGATGAGGCAAAAACACAGGAGGAGCGGCTCTAGCCTTGCTTGGAGGATGATCGACGGATGACGATGATGATGATGGCGATGTTGATGATGTCAAAATCAGAACAACAGCACGAAAAACAAAAGAATGAAATAAAATAATAATAAAAAATATCACATCACTCTACCCACCTTGGCACCCCCCCAAAAAATAAAAAAAAACCACCCAAAAAAAAAAAAAAAAAAAGTTCAAATCTTGAACAAACCCAGCTCATGTTCACATGTGCATCACAGAAAACAAACATGAATAATGCGACAGAAAAGAACAGACAGCAGGTCATGCAGCTGGAGGTGGAGTGAGGAATGAGGGAATGAATTTCTGTGTCAACATGGTGGGATGCTCGGTTGGTATGAGTGTGTCTATGTTGCCACTATATGAAGGGAGGGTACCGTGTTCTACGGAGATAAAAAAAAAAAAAATAAGCTTGCACTTTGACCTTTTGAGAACACTTGGGTTTGATTTTTTTAAGAAAAGAAACACTTGAAGCGTTCTTGTGAAAGTATTCACGCTGCTGGAGCTTTTTTGGGTTTTGCAACATTTCAGTCACAAACTTCACAATTTGTGGTGAATTAATGTGAAGTGGAAGAAAATATTTTTGAAAGATTAGATGAGACCTGAAAAACGAGGCGTGCGTTTGTATTCAACCCCTATGACCTTTCCAATCAACTCTGACCAGCTTGCCTGTGACTGCTGAGGAAACGCATTCCCACAGCATGATGCTGCCACCAACATGCTTCACAGTGTGGTGGATTCATGGTGTTCCAGTTTTGGCTGCAGGTTTACCTTTCTGTTTTCGGAAGGCGCTCTGTGAGATGTTGAAACGCTTAGGATGTTATTTTCTACCCTCAACCTATTTTACATTTTTTTCTACAGTTTTTTTTTTTTTTTACCTAAAGTTGGTTGATTCTTGTTCTTTATGACCCTATTTGTTCACTGCAGTTCTCCAACGAAAACTCTAGGGGGCACTAGGGAGGCCCCAGAAAATTGGAGAAACACGAAAAAAAATGCAAAAACTAAAGAATTTAATCTAATAACATTTTAAATGCACATTTTAAGCATATTTTCTTCATCATACAATCTCATCATTTTCAATAATTATTCTAAAAAATAATAATGGCTGCCAGTCTAATTTGGGGGACTAAGGCATGGAGAAGCTTAGGAGCCCCTGCTCAAAGGCGAGCGCCAAATCCGGTGTGTTTAAATATGATTTTATCTATCAAATCAAAGACACTTTTCTGCATACTGCCAAATTACATTAATTTAAAAAGATGTTTAATATTTAACAGTTTGTTAATAGGTTTTATTGATACCTTTTCTGCCACAACCTTAGAAATGAAATATAATTTGACACCGTGTCTCTAAGCTCTTCACAGAAAGGCTGAATTTATACCTACATTTAATTAAACACAGGAGGATTCTTTAGTAATTCCATGACTTATGAAGGTTGTTGATTTTGTTTTGTTATGGCAAAGGAAGCTGAATATAAAAACATGCCATACTTTTTAGATGTTTCCAAAGTAAACTTGAAATCAACGTTTTGTTTCTCCTCAGCCTCATCAATGCACTTACTCTGTGTTGCTGCATCATAAAATCCCAGTAAAACACATTGAAATCAGGGCTGCAATAAAAATTACTTTAATTATTAATGAATCTAGCAACTGTTCAGATGATTAATCAATTCATTGGATTTTTTTTTTTTTTGCCACATTCTGCAGCTTTTTAATTTAACCCTTTTACACAATAAGAAAATAAACATTTTATTGGCTGAATGTGATAACGGCATTCCTTTAACTGCAGCAGAAAAATACTTCTAAGAACAACATGTGAAAAACTTAGTCAGCCTTTTCTCCTGGACTTAACATCGACACGGAGTAGAGATAATCTGTCGATTTATTTTTGGATAGCCAAATGCGCTTAAGAGTTTTTACAGAATTTGAATCAGGGTAAGTTAAAAGTGCCACTAGATGAGTTTTGGGCAAAAACATTTACAGAGAAAGAAGGTTTTTTTCCAACTTAAATAAAAAAAGGTATGCACTTTTTCAGCAGTTTTGGCTTAATTATTACTCTTATTGTGTTGTTCTTTCAACAATTGGCATTTTTTGAGTCTGTATACTCTAGTTAATGATTAACCAGTTACTAACTTAATGATTATTTCAGTAATTGATCCGTCATTATTAATCTGATTGATCGTTTCAGTTTTAATTGAAATGTGGCAAAATACAGAAAGGTAGAAGTGCTATGGATGTTTCCTTTTAGATAATCTATTGAATACAGCAACACATGCTAGCTGAAGCTGCCGATACAGGAAGTTACGTTGTGTTAAAAAAAATATACTAAATTCTGAAAGATGAATGAGTTTCAATGAAAAAAAAAACAAGCTAATCTGACAAATAAATAAATAAAGGTGATTGCACCATCACACAGGAAACAGGGGAGGGGATTGTTTAAATTCAGTCATATTATTAGCAGAGAAAAGGGGACATATGCTCAGCATTCGGCGGGGCCGTGTTTGGCCGGATTAGCGCAGCATCAATTAGTCTGCGGTGATGGTATTTCGAAGGACAGTGAAGCAATCAAATAACCTGAGCTGTTAATGATTTCCTGAGGGCCCGAGGGGAGCAGCTTGTCAAACGCTGAGCCGGTTTTAATACGACTCGCAGTCTCCTGGTTCTTACCACATTATTAGGATGTGTGCCAGCTGCTCTCAGGGCTGAAAGTGTGACTGACAGCTGCTTCCTCACAAAAAAAAAGAAAAGAAAAAGAAAAGTCCTCCAAACCCAAGTTGCCTCAAAATTACCACTCCTTTTGAATCTGGGGTGTGGGAGGGGGCTTATTTTCAGCTCTGTTTTTATTTTCAATCTCCACTGAGTGTGTTATCACTTTGATGCAATCACAAAGTGATACTTGTGTGTGTGTGTTTGTGTGTGTGTGTTGGTATGTGTGGTTTAAAAGGCAAAAAGGGGTGAGGGGGGGGGAGACGGTGCCCACAGAAATTCGAGGATATCTGTTCTCTATTAGAATGTCTCAGGTAAGGCAAGCCTCCGACGAGGAAACAGAGGTACAAACAAGAGAAAGAAGAAGGGGGGAGAGAGGGGGTGGAGGAAGGAAGAGGCTCTGTTGCAGTTAGTCTGCTACATATCACAGTATCTAAAAGGCTGAAAGCATCTTTGTTCTCGAAAGAATCTCAAAATGTATCCTCTGTCGGGAGAGAAAGGCAACACACATACAGCAAGGGGGGGGTTTCAACCATGTACAGGGGGCGGGGGGGGACAGATACATTTTGAAGCATCAATGCAAGGCGACATGCGGCTTGATGCTAATTTCGCACTTTGTTCAGTAAAGTTTTGCTCTCAATCGGTGCTGAGAAGACAAAATTAGCATCAACGCTGCGTCATGTCTGCGACCAGTGGCCCCCATAGCTCAGTGTAACTTGTTTCCGAGTTCCCTGACGATGTTCCCTGTTAAAATGTTCGTGGCGGGGGGGGGGGGTGGGGTTACGTTTACACATCTCCAAAAAAACAGTTCTGAAAACTGTGGAGAACTCCCCGCATAATTCATCATTGTGGTGGGAGGGAGTGTGGGGGGCGGTGGTGGGGGGTGGGGCGGCTGCTTTTTCTTTTTTATTTTGTTTGTTTCAAAGTTACACTTGAAGCTCCCATGGGGGGTGGAGGGGGAGGGCATGATGCTGAGAGGAGGAGCTCCTCGGTGGCAAATCAAAGAACTCAAAGGAGGAAATAGACCAGATCTCAGAGCAAGCACAACTCGACACACTCATCCCACCTGCATGTCCGGAGTCGCACTCCTCCAGGTCCTCGTCGTCGCTGGAGCACTCGGCTGACGAGACGATGTCGTCCGTCGTCTGCGGGGAAACGAAACCCGACCGTTGGTTCGGTTGTTTAAACCGGCTCGTCCCGTTGGGATCAAGATCTCAACACAATTCAGTTAGAGCGAACACAGCAAGCTAGTAAGGCACATAAAAACATATTCATGAATTTTATTTAGATCTTTGACAGGTTTATTTCGCTAATTGAATTCAAAAAGTAGCGCTGAACGTAAAATTGCACAAATTGGGATCACAAGAACGTTTTTCAGTAACAAGTTATTGTACTAGGATGAGGTGGTTTTTTGTCATTAGTATATTTTACAAAACTAAAATGGAAACACTTTTTTCACATCTTACCAGTTCAAGTGATCAACAACTGGATGTTACTGCTGGCGGAAAAAGACAGGAAGTGGTTGGCGGATGATTTTTAATGACATGGGATTTTTAGTAGCACTTTTTATTTAACAGAATCACCTCAAGTGCGTAATTTTTTTTTTTTTTTTACATTAGTTCAATATCAACTAAGTTTTGCGCACATTTGTAAAGAAACTGTTCACATACAGTGAACCCAAAATTCGGTTTTGCTGTGAAGTCTTTGAAAAACAATCTTAAAACTGTTGCCTGTGAAGACTTTTTCTTTCCGCTCAAGCCTATTACATTACAATTACATAACATGTTTACATTGTTTAATATTTAATATTCTAATTTTTTAGGGGTTTTATTAGCCGTTATCTATGAAAAGCAAAATGTACTGAATCCCTCTGCGTGTAAAGAAAGTATGAAATATTACTCGCCTTTTGAAACAAATTGTTGAAATATATTAACTTTTAGTTATTTTTACTTTCTCATCTACTGTACTTTTCACACTCGGCACAGTTGAAACAAGGTGCTGAACATCAGCGATAAGATAAAAGAAAGCATAAAAATAAAGTGGCAAAACTAAGCACACAATAATGAATTACAAACTTAATTTAAGACACAATAAAACAGAGCAGTTAAACAGATAAAATCAATGCCAATATAAGTAAAATTAAGTCTCAGCTGAGTTGAAGGCCAATGAGTAAAAATCAGGTTATTTTCATTTACTGATTAACACAGTAAATTGTGTTAATCATAACAGATAAAAATGTTGATTCTACAAAATGAGGTTACAGAGGAAAAAGGTAGATTTATTTCTAAAACAAAATCATAGTAGCTTCAACTTTTTCATGTGAAAATAAACTTACTTTTTACACAACAAGGCATTATTAATATAAGACAGTATTAAAAGTTGACAAAAACTTGTTAAAAGTTTCCCAAATATGGCCGACTTAGCTTCTCTTGAAGATGGAACAAACTGATTATTGGATTTCTGTGCATTTACAATAAGTATTAAGTTACAAAGCTGTTGTTGTGGAGTGACAGAGTGACAGCAGCATATTTGAGATGACAGGAAACTTCCACAGGAGCAGGTGGAGGGCAGGAAATGACGAAAGAAACAGGAGAGTGAAAAAGATGAGTTTGAATCGCTTAGTCTTAGGTCATTTATATATGAAGAAAATAAAAAGCCAACAATTGAACCTTGTGGAGCACCATCTAGCACTTGGCTAAGATGGATGTAGTTAACGTGCAGAGCTGTAAATTTCAGTATCATCAACATAGAACTGAAAAGTCGAGTTAAATATAGAGAAAACAACAGGGAGCCAAGAACTCGGTCCTGTGGAACCCCATTGTTGTAAATTCGCTCAGTTGTATCTGAAAGATAATTTGCAAACCAAGCAACTGTTTCTAAAAAAAATCCTCAAAACAAAAATCTTCAAGAGTTTCTGAAATGCATGCAGCAGGATGCGGTTGGACTTGGAGCAGCCGTTCCCTCCCAAGGATATCTCAGCGCTCACAGACCTCCCTGCCTGTCCTTCAGCTCCAATATATCACTTGGAGTCAATCATATTTCACAGTGTTTATCATTCTTCACTTTATGTGCTTTCCACCTCCACAGATAATTGTTTTCCTTCACCCTCCGCACTCTGCCTCCGATTATTTATCGCCCCTCTCCTCCTCCGTCGTCCACAATCAATGGACCCAGTGAGCCCGCACAGATCAACAGCTTCCCCAGCCCCTGATTTGTGCTGCAGAGGTGCAGGAATGAGGGTGGAGGGAGTGGTGTGTGTGCGTGTGTGAGGAGAGTGGGCAAACTTGCTGGCTACACCTGGCCCAGCGATGGATTATCTACACCCTCCAGTTCCCACATTTCTGATTTATCCCCACTCTACACCCTCCTCTCCTCTTTTTTTTTTTTTTTTTTTTTTTTTTTTGGGTCATCATCGGGGGGAGAGAGGGGGGGGGGGGGGGGGT